AGATCTACCGATCGATCTGTATAAAACGACGATAGTTTGTGCTGACCGAGCCCTCTGTGCAATATTCTTATGATCATGAAGGGCAGAAAAAATCAGAGACATTATTAAGGTGTGCTCTTCAAACTTTAGTTAAAAGGACATTTATATCAGCAGCCTGAATCCAATGTTGAAGGTAGCATATAGAGATAGACTTTAGGCCGATATGCTCAATGAAGAAGAAGGTTGAGAATGATTCATCAAAGTAGAGCGCCTTAATGCGTCTAGTCTCACTTTTACGCTCAAATATTTCTATTTATCCGTTCAAATTAGGGATCTGAGAAAAAAGAAGCGACCCCGAATTTGACTTTTTGGCGGTTCAAGTATCTTTTATATGAGATGTATTCACCCAACTTCGTTTAAGGTGATGAAAGACGGGTAGAAGAAGAATTTTCCCACAATGATTTGAGTTGAGCTGACGTTTCCATTGAATTTCACGTAGTCTTGCTTTCCCAAAAGTTGTTCTCATCCAGGCACCAGTGGACTGCAGTTTCGACCTCTCATCGGTCTTATCAACACCCTCAGCGGGAGTCGAACCAGTCCTACCAGTCCTTCATCACCTTAAACAAAATTTGGTGAATACATCTCATATTACTGATTTACTGGTAGTCACGAGAACAATACTTAATTCGAAAAATCAAATATCTTTTGTTTATGAATTAGAAGGAATGAAAAGTTTCCGGCTTCGTAAACCAGTTTTTCTTCATATTTACAACGAAGTCGCAGAAGCCCCTCCACTGACTATACCATAAGTATTCCCTATAAAAATTTGAGATATTTATCTGTTTGACCCTGTTTTCGCAACTTGATCATATTGGCAGGAAGACCTAGAGGAACGCACATTGTCCGGAGTCCATAGCATGCGAGACCATTTCCAGAGTCGGACCGTGGACGTGGTACATTCCCACACATTTCGCCGGCCTCGTCAATGATCTTTGCCGTTCTTAGCACCACACTACAACTCGTCAAAGGGACAAGTGAAGTCGATCCTTTGACCAATTGTTTGCTAAAAGTCTTACCAGATCTCCCTCTTGCTCCGTAGGATTAGCCTCCTAATATTTCACTCGACCCTTGACACCTTATCTGTACTACACGAAGTGTTAATTCCCACAGTCAGCAGCCTTTAATGGCACACATACTCCCGCCTCGCTGAGTAGTTTCCTAAAAATCAGGATTCTCCGGCCGGATGAGAGACTATGTTGAGGCTAAAGATCCCGAGTAATTCTCACGGTCAAGCTTTTGCTTCATGGACACGTCTACTGTTAGCCAACCAGTTTTCGCTGCTCTCCATGCAATTCCTTTCCCTAAATCACAAATATCTGCTTGGTCCAGTCGTTTTCTTTTTGCTGATATTGCTGTTCCATGATCCTCTCTGAGTTTGCTAAGCAGTAGGCAAAATTTTCGCCAATCCTATCTTCTTCAAGTCTCCAGTTAATTAGATTTTTTCAGTCAGGATATGAATGACTTCTCTTATCTTGTGTTTTCTTGTATTTTCAGCATATGCAGCCAGTCTTCCTGTCGATTTCGTGACCCTTCTGTGCGATGTGTTCCGTTATTTCGGATGTTTTAGTGTCCATGTTTCTGCAGTCTTTGGTGTTCCATGATTTGCAGGCCGATTTTTATTCCTCTTTCACCCACATACTTCTGCTCACAGTTGCCGCATTTGGTGCCATAATCTCCCGAGCAGTCTAGTTGTGTCGACAGCCTTTTGACTTGCCATGCCCTAGTTGCTTGTGTGCCTACGCACAAATGTTGTGGTACTGCTGGCTTTGATTAGGTTCAATGTTGTACCAAAACGTTTGTGAGTTGGCACATAATAGACTAGGGTATTGGAAACAGACATCATCAAGGCAAGATTCCATACTTTACGAAATAGAGGAAAAATATACTAAGCCAAGAGAAATAGAATCGTGCTCTGTCTGTCACAGTACAGACGAAAACTTAGCACTGTAAGCCGACTTCGCACAATTCGATAGTCTTCCCTACACAGCAAACCTCCTTCGGTTTCTGATGAGACTACATCACGAATTCCTTCCAACCAACTTTATTTCCGAAATGGAGGGTCATGCCACAAGAATTAACGAATATTTAGATTTAGAATACACTCAAAGATTTGAATATGCGCGTTTCAGGGATCCCTATGCGAGTATGATACATGCAGTTGCTCCATAGGGAATATGGCAACTCTTATCCTCCCTCTTTTTTTATTTTTTCCAGCTATAGATCTTATCACCAGTCTTCTCCAAGTGAAGTTGAAAAAACGCTCTTCTGTAGAGCGCACCTTAAACCACAGCTGGATGCAAGTAAGTCAAACTATTTTTTCTAAACAACTCCAAGCAATTAAAAAGGAACTTAATACAAAAAACGCTAGACAGGGATCTTAAGAATGTCTTATTATTAAGCAATTTGAATTTTCCGGATTTAGGACATTGCCAATGATACCTTTCGGGACATAATGCTTGATGCTTAGTGTTGGTTTGACCTAATGCGAGTGCTGTCATGCTATGATAAGTTACAGCAGGTTACCATTGGCTTGGTGCAACCAAAACGTTTCGCTTGTATCGTCAGTTTGAGGCGCCGCGACTAACAGAATTCCATCTCAGTGACTTATCAAAGTTTCAACTCTATGCTAAGGATGGCAATGCTGGAGAAACATCTGGAATTGTGCCAAATAAACAGTTCGATGCCGAGAATTACCATGACAGAGGACTCAGGACTAGGTACGTTCTATAGGACCCCCATATTGCTCCAAACAAGTTCCGAAAATGAGGTGAGTAAAAGGAGACTGTGACCAAACCTGAGGTCGCACTATCTTGGCTTTCTTATCTGACGGGAAATTTACACTTTATGATACCAGTATGGAAACGGAGAACATAATGCCAAAGCCTAGAGCATACATAGTTCCGCAGACAAATGGTTTTTCTTCTACGTGCCCTTGCCTGACAGAATATTTAAAAGAACTCTCGTTTGGAGGAAAGCTTAACATTTGATTGAAATGACCGAATAAATTTACTTTTTTGACTGTTCATACATAAAAATTTCAAACCGATTGAACTTAATTGAATCGCACCGATGGTTAGCAGGATTTATTCACAAGCAGCTCGAGTTAAATTTTGTCAAGGCAGGAATCCGTTTTTAGTTGGGATCGAAGACATTCCAGAGGCAAGCTTGATGCGTGAAATGAACGAACTGTCATAAAATGATGCTTAATATTGCGTAATTAGGGTCATACCACCGATTGAAAAATATATTAAAACTGAAACTAAGCTTAATTAGTATAGACTTTACACGACATGCTTATAGACTAATACCTGATAAACACACTTCGCAGTCGGCATTTCTATTTTCCGTGACCAATTTCATCTATAATAAAGCTGTCTTAGTAAGATAAGGCATTAATTCAGGCTGATAAAAATGCAAACTAGCTGGCATCCTAAATGAAGCTTTAGCTTTTATAAAACTATCTATTTTAGATAATGTATCTTCCTCATTAGAGTGTTCCTGCCAAGTGCCAGATAGTCACATCATGC